AATAATGAGGAAATACAAGGCAGCTTTTATGAGCCAGAATTACTACCAGCAAAACAGGATGTATTTCGCATTGAAAAGGTCATTCGGAGGGATTATAAGAAGAAACAAGCTCTGGTAAAATGGTTAGGCTATAGTGACGACTTTAATAGTTGGATTCCACTAAACAGCTTGCAAGATTTATCTAACTAATATTATATATGGACGATCATATAGGAAAGCTTGATACTAAAATCCAGAGTAAGGAATCCGAGCTTAATGCACTATTCACTAAAATCCAAAAAAATTGCGACATTATACCACAAGAAATTAATCTCCAAAAAGCTGGAATCAGCTGAGATGACATTAACTGGCGTCCTTGAAGTAATCTTTAAAACGGAGGAGGAAGAGGAGGAAAATGAGTAAACTATTGTCACAAACTAAAAATTTAATACACCTTTTTTACATTCCATAATTATATACATAATATATATATGGAAGATTTTATCCGTCTTTTAGCCAAACAACAATCTCTATCAGGAGGCACTAGTTTAATATCTATGTATATTCCTCCAAATGGTAGAGTAAGCCTTAGTAAACAAAAGTTGACCAATGAAATGGGACTTGTCTCAAATATTAAGTCAAAAGTCGTACAAAAACACACAAAAACCGCTCTAAAATCAGCATTATAGCAACTAAACCAGCTAAAAGAACCAAGAATTTCATGCCGTGGGTTGTTACTACTATCTGGCATCATAAAAAATACTTGTGAAGGATACAAAGGATCAGTACTCATTGAGCCTGAGCAAGCAATAGAAAAAGCTGATTATAAATGCGGTAAGAGCTTTTATTTAGATCCTATTTTAGATACTTATAAAAAGAAAATAATCGAAGATCCTATTGTGGATAAAATATTGGAAATGATTCAAAAAGCAGAAACAGACAAAATAGATTTTGGACTAAAAAAAATAACCAATAATCATTCTCATGTTGTATTCACAAATGAGGATAAATATCAAAAATATCAAATAGATCCTAACTCAAAAACCAAAATAATATATAGTCAAAAGCTATTTCAGTATGGTGATATGGTTGGGCTTAGATATTATAAGACAGTAGATTGGGAGTAAAAAGGAAGTATAGAAGCAAAATGCTTCGACTATTTCCCAGATCAAAGGAGATTGTTATGTAAAAAAACAAAGGATCACGGTCGTTTCTTCACGAAATGCCCAGTATATGCACTTTTTCGAAATCGGGTCTATATACACTTTTTCCATTTTGGAACTTTTAAAATTACCAAAAATTGCCCAAATCTCGACCCCTGTTCGGCTCTATTGTGCTTTTTTAGTGGCGCGAGAAATGGCCGTGACCCTAGCCGTAGTGTAGAGGCATCTGTGATACAGGGTCTGATCAACATCACAGTAAAAGAGGGCGAAAACGGTACTTTGGCTTGTCATGTTAGTGGTATCCCTTTACCATCTGTATCCTGGACAGAAGTAAGAACAGGTGACCGTACAGAAGGGAACATCCGTTCACTTATTAACGTCAGTAGAAGTGATGCTGGAGAATACAAGTGTGAAGCAAGCAACTTTTGTGGAAATGACTCCAAAAGCACATTTGTAATTGTTAAATGTAAGTGACTACTATGAATAGTAATTAAAAGTACATGTGTCAGGGTGCAAAGAAAATTATTTTTACAGCTTGCCATTCTGGCAAGCTGAAGCTAGCATTTACTAGCCCAGACATCATTTCAACTAACCCCAAAAGCTTTTTGACGAGCAGAATTGATTTCACAGTTCTTCTGTTATTCGAACTCCTTAAAAAACATCACTTGCCCATCAGGCAAGTTAAAAACAGAGTTCACTAGCTTGATAGCAAAATCCACTAGCCCCGGGCTTTTGATCACTACCTTCTTTGCACGCTGTGTACAATTCCAGTGGTATTTTATGATCAGTAGCTGCTTGTACTGTGTTTTACCCATCATATTAACATTCAAACTGCAGTAAGAAAAGAAAATCTCTAGAACGTTGTAGTATAAAGGAATTGTAGTTTTTCAAATATTCTCATGGGGAACAAAATTGGTGCAATTTTAGGGGGAGGTACTACAATGAGGGACAAAAGTGTTGACACACTTCTGTAAAATGGCCCCTTTTTGCATAGTGGATATACTTATCCCCTTCCCCTGTCTACCCCAACCACTTTCCCCCAAAATCAATGTTGAATTTTGGACCCTCAAGTCTTTTTTTTTACTTCAGACAACATTGATTCGGGGGCTGAGGGGGTTTACGGCGTTTAAAAAGAATGAAATAATAAATGAATTAAATGCTTGTTAAAAGCACCCCTTTAAAACAAGTGTGTCAACTACTTTTCTCCCTGATTGTCTGAAATATGTATCTATGTTTTCCGGCTAGATTTTTGACGCTGCTGAATTTTTGTGCGATGACCTTACTCTATGGGCCAAATTGTTTGTTTATAAACAACAATTTGAAAAGTTTCGTCCTGATTTGTAGTATACGTAGAGTAAAATGTACGAAGCGTATGTCATTACTTAATCTTGTACTCCCGCGCGCGTTCCTAATACCCTGACGGGTCGAGAGGAAATCATTTGTGTTGTAATCAATGCCGTTGCTGTGGATGTAATGTTTTCACAGGTATTATCAATAGTGCAAAAAGGATGGAAACACTAAGGTACAATAAAAATTGTTCTGGTAAATGGTTAACTTAAGCGAATGAAGTACCGCAGAGTAACGGAGCATTATTTTTGACCTTGACTTGTGCCGTTAGTGAAAGGACGTGAACAATATATATAGGTCATGAACCTCATAAATGATGGGCCAGCCGCTTGTGCTATGCCCTATATATATGTGTTTTTTTTGAAGACCTTTTCCAACCTAACTGATCCAAACCTTTAGCGTAGCTAGGCGTCGAACAGGTTAGACCAGGTTAGGAAAGTACTTTTGTAATGATTTTCGATGACCGCCTGCCATTTATTCAATGGCATGATTTTTTTTTGATGTTGTATGGACATCTATTTCATTTCCCGGCTCGTAAATCACAGCATGTCAAAGAAATTGTTTTCAAGATAGACACATCAGTTTGTATCATCGCCAAAACAGCAATTACTTTGGCCCAGAAATTCACTTGATGACAAGGAAAGCGGGATAACACGTGATCGATGACGGCCGTGCGCTGGAAAAGTTTCCTTTTTTATGTCCTAATTCCTCGCAAAAGGCAAAAGAAGATTCCGCTATGTAGAAAGAGCTTCGCAATACGTATTCTTGGCGAGAAAAACTCTAGCGATGTGGTGCAAATGAGGAGTTTTAACGGTTAACCACGAGAATACATATCAACAGTAAGAGGTCATAACAGACTAATGTTTCTTTCCGTTTGCCGAAACGTGGTTAACCGTTGCAACACGAAGAAAGCAGTGTTTTCCTCAGTTTGGGCTGTCGTTTCTTTGATAGTCAAATACCAGTTCACGTTTCAAAGCTCTCTTTTCATTTTCTCTGCCCACAATAGACAAAAAGACAGGGTTTCGCTTAAGAAATGCAGTTCAAATAAACAGACATATACGCCCATGACACGCTATTTGCGTTGCGTTATCATGTCACACAGGGTGTCAGGAGGTGGGATTGAAAGTAATTGTTTTCGTGTACACTTGCAATGGTTGCTACGCTGTCCTTAGTTTTTTTTTTTTATTGAATTAGCCATGAATTTACCTTCACTTTTCCGTAGTTTCGATATTGAACGCAGTGACGGCCGCTCCTCACTAACGCTCCATATTTCCGTGGCCGGCCAGTGAATATCTCCACTACGTGTCAATCCTTACCCTACTCGTGATTGTTTGCGCCTTAACGATCGAGTAAAGTGAAGAACGAGAAGTATTCACTTTATAAAAATATTTTCAGTACGCATACCCTTGAAATTCATCAAAAGTTCCACATGTGCGCGAGTTTCGGCGTCAGTTTTTAGCTTGTAAACTATATCGACGTCAATTCTGGATATCGCAGTCCTTTTATTACGTCATCACGTAATTCGAATTGGCCCTATAATTCGGTCGTGAATAAGTCAATGTCACCCCCACCACCAATAACATAATTATGTCATTGATATCTTTAATTTCAGTTAAAGTCAGTGTCATGCACGAATCCACCTGTGTGCAGTAGCACAATTTTGCGTTCAGACAATGAGGGATAAAAGTGTTGACACTGTTCCGTAACATGGCCCCTTTTTGCATAGTGGATATACTTATCCCCTTCCCCTGTCTACCCCAACCCCTTTCCCCCCAAATCAAGTCTTTCTTTTTACTTCAGACAACATTGATTCGGGGGCTGAGGGGTATTACGGCGTTTAAAAAGAATGAAATAATAAATGAATTAAATGCTTGTTAAAAGCACCCGTTTTAAACATGTGTGTCAACTACTTTTGTCCGTGATTGTAGCTGTAAATTGGCACTATTTGACCTTGAAAAGGAATAATAATAATAATACAAGAATTTAAGAAAGGAGAGGAAGTCAGCTTTGGTCTGACTCTCAAGACAATAGTAGTCATGCTTCAGCAAAATTAACCCCGTTGGAGTCTAGCAAGGTCTAACTAGGTCTAGTCTATGACGTCACCCATTGTTAAAACCTGGGGAAAAAGTGCCTTCCTCCATACTAATTAAGTGCTTAGTCACTGCCTTCCTGCATATTAATTATGTGGCTAGTCAGTGTCTAGCTAGCTGGGTAAAAATGCGTTCCTCCATATATAATGAAGTGGATAGCTTTACTAATAAGCGTCACTCTACTACAATAGGAACAATAGGCTTGCCTAGACTTGCCCGGTCTCTTTTAACCCTGATTGGCTCATGTGGAATCTATTCTATCTTCCAAATAAAAGCGGGCTCTCCGTTCAGCATTTTATTCTTGCAATCGCTTTGCTAAGGAAACAATTTGTTCGAGTTCGCCGTGTTTGAGAAAACGTTTGTTCACTTTTTGAGCATCATGGCTTTTATTACCAACGTTGATGAGCTTGAAGCTCTTTTGGATGCCTGTTCCTTAACCCAAGAATTGGAACTTTTGATCCAGTCTATTTTGATACCCGATGAGTGGGTCCCAATGGTGTATGCTCGGCTGTCGGAACTCACCGCCCAAGAGATACCAGTAAGTATTTTGTTCCATCTTAGCTCTTCGCTGATCTTTTCCTATTGTTGTTTAAGTTTCCACGTTACCGAAGCGAGTGTACATCAATCTTTACTTAACGTTTTACTCCACTGATTGAAACGAACCAGGATAATGGGAGCTATCAAGCCAACGAATTTTATCAGCGCGAGAATGTCGTAAGTATATTTTGCCTGAAGTTTATGTCATTTTAAGTTTAAATAGGAAATCGATCTTTAGTCTTTCTTTTTACTATAGATGCCAGGGGATGTTAACGCGGGTGTTGAAGTCAACGAGTTACTGAGCGATTCGGTAAGTTTTGAAAAACGACCTTGAGTAGTTTTCTGTAACCGAGTTTTCACGCATCATTTATGTTCGTTATGTTAATAGACTCGACTTGGGTTAGATTTGCATCTGACCTATTAAACCGCTCGCGTATCTTTTGTTATCTTCGTTAATGAAACAAAAGGACTCCAAACTCTATTTGCTTCAACGTTTTGTAGACAGTTGTCATATAATACTCATCGAATATGTTTCTTTGCTTTACAGTTTATGGCTGAAGAAATACAGGCCGTAAATGAGATGGAAAGTATGGCGCTAGGCAAGGTAACTCCATTTCCTTTTTAATATGCAACGTAAATGATTTGTTTAGTGATGAAACAACAATACGAATCTGCTTGCTTACCCGTTCAATGCCCACCTATTTTTTAAAACGAGCGAGATTTCGAAACCTAAAGTAATCTGATTTCTTCTCTTCTTATCTAGAATAACAACGAGTCGGCACCGTTAGCAACGCAAGATACATGGGATAATTTCTTGGACGAAGTAAGTATTCAAGATCATAAAATTATATTGCTTTCATTGAACGCAGTGTTCTTTGTGCGCTAAATCTTACGTTGATATCTTTTATTCACTTGCAGTGGAATGGCGAAGACAGTGAATTACCGACTTGGGATCCTTTACAAACCGTAAGTCACCTTTCATTTTCACTTGTTTAGAATACACTATGTAGAAGTGCAAACCTTACAGTTTAAGTTTTTGAAACGTATACCTTTTGAAAACTAAATTGTTTAGGCTCACCAAAAAAGACAATGTTATTCATTCCAACATTTATAAGAGTCAGAAGAAAATAAAAGTTACAGTTGGCTTGCTATTTATGATTTCAAGGCGTAAATAGTTTATTCTTGATCGATTCCGCTTTTCACTGATCAGATAAGTGAATTCGTTTTTTGCGGATGATTGCACCCACATAATGAAATCTGTTCCATTCTTTTCTCCTGTTCAAAATCAAAACAAAGCATTTGCTCAATGTTTTAATATTTAGTCATCAAACCAAATTGAAAAAAATAGACCGCGTATTATATACTAAAACAAGTATCACAGCAACTTAAGTTTCTTCCACTAAGCAGTAAAATATAGCAATATAGCAGTTATTAGTACCCACCCGCTGATCTCTGCAAGTCAATTATATCGTGGATTAGATTAAATTAAATTTATTCTGTTGTTCAACATCAAAACAAACCATCTACCCAGTTGCTGAGACGGTCATTGTAGACAAATAGAGTTTATCAGAGTTTCTTGTTAGTTAAGGTTTATACTTAGACTAGGTAATAACTAACTGTAGGAAATTCAATCCGGGGAAGGTGAACCCGCAGCCAAAAAGCCTCGCAAGGAACATCGCTGCGACACCTGTGGTAAAACTTTCACTCGGCCAAACCACCTAGAGAGTCATCAACGCATCCATATTGGGGAGAAGCCGCATCAATGCCCGCGCTGCGACAAGAGTTTTCAAGCGAAGTCGAATCTAAACAAGCATTTGAAAACGCACTACAAGCGAGCTGCCGAACGCACTTTCACCTGTAATACTTGTGGCGAAACATTCCACAACTGCGCACCTTACAACGCTCATATTCACGCCGCTGATCAAAAACCCGCCGCTGCAACTAGAAAACGCACTGCTCAAAAAACTACAGATGCTCCGTCCGCGAAAAGACCTAAGAGGTCGGATCAAGAAAGTACGAGTACCGCTTCAGAACCAACTTCCACAGCAAGTGCTGAAAACGCCGCTGCTAGCTGGCAACCTGATCCTATTCTCATTCCAGCCAACCTTGTTCCCAGTGGCGAAGAAAACATTGTCCAAATGTACAGACAACACTGGCCACAAATTCGTACCTGGTTTAGTCGCCACAACAGACTTGATTGGTATAATTTTCGCTTGTCGACGATCAACCCAGCCAGCCTCCGAGAACAGCTGAACCGCATTTTTGCTGACCAACCAGCAGTTTTCAAAGTCAACTTCGCCTTTGGATTTATTCTCCGTCATACAGAGACTGGGGCACTCCAGTATTATCATCCATCCGCTAACAACAACCTGGTGTTGGAACAACGTTTCCTCGTTCCTAATCAAGCTGATTTAGACCGCTTGTATGAACAAGTAAACAACATCGATTTCTTAGAGTGGATACGCCAGCAGTGGCCTAACTCTAAATGGGTCGTGGATCTCGTGACGAATGTTACGTGGTTTGCTTGGAAGATTCGAGACCACCCAATCGACCGTGGCAAATATCTGCCAGGTTATATCGTGGACAACCCGGGAATCACTCCACTCGATCGAAACATTCGAAGAGGCAAACCGTACGAAGATAACCTCTGTTTCTTCCGCTGCCTAGCTCTCCACAACGGTTGCCATACTAAGAACCTAAAGAGAGATACCAAGCACTATTACCAACAGTATCGAGACGCTGTTTTGTCTAAAAAGAGGTTCCATGGAGTCAAGTTGTCCGAACTAGACGAACTGGAAAAAATGTACGAAGTTAGTATTCAAGTGTACAGTCTCGCGCCTACTCCGAGCCACAGTGAAGACGAAGACAATGAAGAAAATACTCCCGAGATTGCCGCTACACTCCTCCGCCGCTCACATCGTCATTACGCCAGCACACTCTACTTGAACCTCTACTAAAACCATTTCTCGTATATTAAAGATCTCGTCCGGTACAGTAAATCCTTTTGCAAAGTAGAGACATTGATTTAATGGCGAGTGATAATGAAGAGGATGAAGAAGAAATTGAACCGGAGAACGAAGAAGTCCGCGCCTTTCTCGATGATGAAATACAAGAACAGGAAGACGTCTCCTTTTATAGAAGATTTCACGTAGAACTCGATAGAGGCATAAGACAAGAAGGAAGACAACAGCGACAAGAACTGGCCATGTATGAAGACATGTTGTTTGGACAAGAACAAACCAGTAACAACAAAGTCTTGAACGAGCTGACTGAAAAACTAACAGAGTACCTCAGAGAACTTCCAGTCTTGGACTTCAATTATGGCAAGTACGATCTTAACGCTGGGAAAGAATTTTTATTTCCCTACCTCATTGAGACTTAACCAATCAAGTTCACTGTCAGAAGAAACAGCAATCATATGTGTATCAAGACAGACTCCTTACAATTTCTGGACATTTCGAACTATGTTGCGCCGGGATTCAGCTATGACCAGTTTCTAAGACCAAGGGATTTTTGCCATACGAGTGGATAGACAAGTTAGATAAGCTGAACGAGACATCACTACCCCCTCATGCTGCCTTCTATTCATCTCTGAAAAACACCAACATAACAGAACAAGAATATGAGTATTGCCAGCAAGTGTGGGAAGAAAATAACATGCAGACATTTGAAAATTTTCTCGTGTGGTACAATAACCTGGAGGTGGTGCTGTTTATAGAAGCGGTCGAGAAAATGAGTCAATTCTGGCGAGAAAGGAAGATTGACATGTTCAAAGACGGGATCTCGGTCCCTGGTTTAACCCTCAAGTACCTCTTCTCATACCTCTCACCTCAAACTTACTTCAGTCTCTTCGATCAAGCGAACAGCGATCTCTATCACCTCATTAAAGACAACAACACAGGCGGCCCAAGTAATATTTTCCACCGATATCATGTAGCAGGCAAAACAAAGATCAGAGAAGCAGAGGAAGACGAGGCTGCTAAGCCGTGTGAGAAGATCGTTGGCTATGACGCAAACGCGTTGTATCTCTGGGCGCTCATACAAGATATGCCCACGGGAAGTTTCAAACCTAAAAGTTCTGTACGCATGGCTATTGAATGGTTGGAGTGGTTGGCGCACAAAGAGGGAATTCCCATCCGACATCAGTTAAACAATACAGAAAAGCGCATCGGTGGTCGTAAACTGCCTGTAGACGGTTTCAACGCGCAGACGGAAACTGTGTACCAGTTTTACGGCTGTTATTGGCACGGCTATGACTGCGCTCTCAACCGCGGAAAGGGTTTTAGCGAGAAACGAAACAAACCCATAGCTAAGATCAGAGAATAAACGAGAGCCAACACTGAGTATATCCGCAGCAAAGGGTACAACGTGGTGGAAATGAATAAATGTCAGTGGAGAGAAATGACGAAAACGAATCGTGAATTACAGCGATTTACTGCCACCGAAGTAAGAAGAACCTTGGAGAAAGTAAAGATCATGAGCCCGGAGCGAATATTGAGCGAACTGCGACATGAGCGTTTGTTTGGGTGCGTGGAAGTAGATATTCGTGTACCAGATCATTTGAACGAAAAGTTTAGTGAAATGTGCTCGATCTTCAAGAACACAGAAATCAGCCGCGATAATATTGGAGACTTCATGAAAGCGTACGCAGAAGAACACAACATCATGGCTCAACCCCGTCGCAGTTTGATTGGGAACATGAAAGGAGAAAAGATCCTGCTGGCTACACCTCTTCTGAAATGGTACTTGGAACATGGTTTGGAGGTCACGAAAGTACGCCAAGTGATCGAGTTCATCCCTGAGCCCTGTTTCAAACCTTTTGGGGATGCTGTGTCTGACGCAAGGAGAGCCGGAGACGCGGATCCTAGGAAGGCCATTATTGCA